CATGTAGAACTAACAGTATCCGAAAAAAGTTTTTTTTTGCTTTAGGGTGAATATCTCATGGCACGGGATTATTCGGTTCCAGAAACGTCCCCGATAAACGCTACCAAATCACGGCGATCAGCTGACAGATATGCACAAGCCGCAATCCAATGTTTGTTCCAGTGACAGACTCCGTAGGCCATACGAGAGATCCAATTGCTCCATGTGACTGTTGACCATACTAAGCAACGCCTTCTGATGTCCCACAGGACGTCAACTCCATTAGTTGGATGAATGGCCAAGATTTGTTTGGCGATTACACCATCATTCATAAGCAACAAATGTCCAGACGGTTCTCAACGTCCTAGTTAAAAGAGCTGTTATAAGTGTCGCGGATTGCGACAGCATTTCCAGATCCCACCATTAAACACTACCTTCCCTATATGATGAACCCTTACATTACTTTTGGCGCACCAGTTGTTAAAAACCTCTAGCTTTCGGATACCTTGTGTCCGGACACGCCATGTTCCAAATGAATAAGTCAGAACTTAGTGGATAGCTGAGTTGAAGACCCCAAACTGATCTAAGTTCTTGAAAGTCATCGGTGTTCAGCTGTATATGGGTACGCTGCGTAATATGGATGAAACGCTTGAAGTGCTTATTTAGCCTGCTCGTTGCGTGGCCAATCTGATGGATTATCTCACCTCATACGCTGTGAGGCTAAGCGAGCATGCCCAAGCAGATGAAGGGAAATGACACGGTCGCTTCCACAAGAAAGTGAAAATCATGGTAAGATATCCCACTCCGGAGGTGTTCCGTTTATTAGGTGGAATCCTACGCTAAAACCTAATTACCGCCCACAGTTGGGTGCTGTAACGGCCGATAAGACCCAATCGCAGGCGACTGGTCAGAGCATCAGGCCGATTACCGGTCCGCTGCCAAAGCGAGCTTTGATTGGTCGAAAATGTAGACCCAAAGGTCAATCACGTCCAGAAGACGTCTGGACTTCCAGAATACCATTACACAGAATGTGAATACGATGAGCCGTATGTGGGTTTCTGATAGGTTTCTGAGCGTTTAATCCACTACGTATGCCATTGGTGGTTTTTCTGCTGGAAACGTTAGCTCGGAACAATAAGGCCGAGAACTGAGCTGAGGCACTACCGTTATTAAACCATCTTAGACTAGTGGGGTCTGTAGCAGATGTCAACCTGGTCACTAAACCATCACCATCTCTTCTGAAATGTGCAAGGTAAAAACTGTCAAAACTCGGTTCCTTTACGTGTGTCTGGGGGAGGAGGCAGATTTAAGAACGCACTTCGGTTTCCCATGGTGCCTTGGTTTTCACATCCTAGTAACTTACGTCAGTCGTTTACGGTGTGTTGCTGGAGACTGACTGAAGTGTTATTTGGAATTTCTGATCGGTTCTTCGAAACGAACCTGTGTGAAGTAGTAAGGATTCATCGTCTTCTTATACCGGTTTGGATCAATGACCTTCATCTGACCGGTCATCTGTATTTACGAAGTAGAGTGACTGGTTTCTACCACATACATCTATCTATTTTATTGTGCCATCCTCCAGTCGTTTTCCTCACGACATTCTTAAGACCTTTTACATGTTAGCCAGATAAATTCGGGTGGTTGTAGTTAGCATGAGAGAACTGAAGAGGAAAAGGGTTTTGAATCGTACATGAGGATGCCTAGATGGTCTTCTGTTATCCCGAAACAAAAGGATGTGACGGAATTGGCATGATCTTACGGACTAGTATTGAATAACCTATACTTTCCAAGTTCCGTACTAGCTTTTTCAGGTTTATTGGTGTCTGCACCAAAAGTACGACTAGAATAGACTATCGCGAAACTAATAAACCGTTTGTCAACTTAAGAGAAACTTTCTCCGTTCAACATGAAAACGTCCATGAAAGAAATGAACTTCCCGCACAGAGGGAATCGTTGCACAGGAATTAGGTGTGACACGAAGCTTTCTACGGAACCCGCCAGATTCGAAAAAAAGTTCGTTGAGAAGGTATTTCGCCCTAAGGTCTTTTAAATCGCACTCTCGATTGTTTGCAACGAACCCATAGTACCCTTTGGTCATGCCACGGAATAGTAACTCTGCAGTATGAGTGTGCCAAACGTTCCCAGGAGTGAACTTGTTAACAGTCTTAAACAGCTTGCTCTGTGTCTGACGACCGGGCTATGCTTACCCATTAAACGCCGGTATTTCTAAAAGTAGAATTCTCATGTGTAAAGAGCAGGAAATCATAGGAAGATGATGTAATGCAACAAACACTGTTGCGAATAATCTTTGCTGCCATTTCAATCAGAGTTGTGTTGGAAAACTGGATATTTTGGATGCACACGAGCATCTTCTGAAGGGAACACACAGTCTGCTCGACTCAGAAAAAGGTTGCTTATCGAAAGGTTTCATTGTTGTGTGTAGTGTATTCTGTAGCCAGACGAAATAGTCATCACAAACTGGACATAGCAGAAACAGTGAGTTTGACTGTTCTTCAAGTGGTTGGTGTTCTGTGGCTGCGATCCACAGGCAACTTGCAAATTTAGCTGAATTAACACCTGATTCCGCATGCCCTCTAGTCTACGCCACATTGCTGTGCTAATACTTTGGTCATGAAAGATGAGTGGGTCTTTGGCGATCGAGTGATCTAACCAGGGATATGACAAAGCATACCTGAATAGTAAGTGAGAATTGTTGGCCAGCATGCCAACGTCGGCGTTTTAGCTCCCTATCGGCAGGCCAGCACAAGAAAACAATGCGGTGCTTCGAGACTACACTTATTCACCACCACAACCCTGTCAGTAAAAACATCAAACGAGGAACACTTCCTGTTTCCGAGGTGGGTGCTTCATTTTCTCATGAGAGACACCAATAATGCCACAAACCCCGATGTGGGTTCTTTAGGGGAGTGGCCTCTATTTGGAGGTTCGCTATCTGGGGGCTAGTATATATAAAATTTGCTTCCTAGATTGCAGAATTATGAGGCAGTTGAAGTCAACTGCTAAAGTGGGCATAAGTGAGGTACTTCCTATGACTCCTAGGAACTTCCGTCCTCCCCTCAAGTTCTGTACGTGGAAAACCCAGACTTTTGGATAATGCACAAGGGAAGGAATAACAACCCGAAACCCATCTGTTTACATACCAATATGAGATCCGAGGTTCTTAATCAAGAAACGTTAAGCCTTACCTTGTTCGGTATGAAGGTTTCTTGCACGAGATTGCGAAACCGTCCTATGGAAGGATCAACGTCTTCTGGATTGATAATTTCATCCGCGTCGCTGAAGTGCACTGAGTAGGGTTTTCGTTTCCGAAGTTTCGATAGACCTAGTGGAGGGTTGGATGCGACATCGACAATGCCAGCAATACGCCTATTGTGAGCTGTGTTGAACTCTGTCAGGTTGTCTAATTCCACTTCAGACTGAGGAAGCTGTGAATACAGAAGACCCAGTGAGTTGGTGCCACCGGAGGAATCGTCCAAAGACAACCGGTTTTCGGGGCCAGTTGGATTGACCCCATCTGGATTGGTTGCCCCTAAATCCGTACCACCGACGGGACCGGTGTATAGAGGATTCGGACGTTCCCGGATTATGTATACACGGGAGGAAGCGCCAAAATGCAGTTCTGAATCAAGCGGGACCTGTGCAGAAGACAACACACTTATAGTGATACAACACCTAAAATAAACAATGCAGTCACCAAAACAGGGGAAAGTATTTTCATCGCACCCATATAGCAGCAGGATGTAGAAGAAAAGCGAGAAGAATAAGAGCGCTGGCATGTCCCATCTCCAAAGACAAAAACGCAATTCACTCAGTTACCGCAATGTTTCTTGGTGCGAAAAGTATGGGTTGTGTGTATTATCCATTTCCCCTAAAGATTCAGTTATGAGTTTCTAATTGCAAAGCGAAGTGAGCAGTATTGGAGATAGAACTTCTGACCCATAACTTTCAACTCAATGACCACTAAGCTCCATATGCACCGAGTCATGGCCCTCCTCGGTTTACGTAAATTAAGAATGGTAATAGAATCAAAAGGGTTAAAACAAAGCAGGTCTCTCAAGAGAGACCACCCTATCGTGTGGTTCGAGAGAGCGTTCCTCATTACGACCAGATCAGTGTAAGGCCGCTTCGCAAAAAGGGAATTGCCGGGCGAACCAATATACATGGATATCATTCGATCTAAATCAGGCTGACAGTCACTCAGAAAATGTCTGGGACTTTCTACTTCGAAAGCATGGAGTCTGTCTTAACAGTTGGAAAGAAATATGCTACCTGAACTGAACAAGTTCTATCATCACAAGATTTGGAAGCTGATTAAAGAAAGCTTGACGTCAAGCTGGTCTTCACATTTCTTCTTCCAACCAAAAGTCATAACACAATCACTTTTAAAAAGGTCTTAGCTGACTGCCGTTCTCCAGTTGATAATAATCTTAGTGTTAGTTTTACTGTTAATGGGGATAATAATGTATCGTAAATATGTCACAAAATTGGCCACCTGTTGCTGGCGAATTTCCACTCTAATTCAGTCAGTTGAATTTCGCTTCATCAAACAAGCCAACCAACCAACAAAATAACACTGCAATCGAAAGAGCACACGCGTGCCGAATGGAGACGAATGCACCGAACCAACGGATGGACTAAGACCAATCTGGCCTGATGATACAAACTCAAGGACTACGGCTCATATATGCCCTGCAGTTGGCGATGATACGTGTATCTCACATGAGAATGTAATAGCGACTATCCGGATTAGACGCGTATTAAAGCTCTTTAACCTTAGTTGGTCAGACGCCCATGATAATAAGCAAGTCACGCTGTTTCACCTCACCATCCTCCTTCTGGCTAAAAGAGCTCTATGTTGCCCCCATTGAAAGGTGCCAGGAAAGAGAGTGGACATCTGTGCGCGAACAATGAATCGATAAACCACGCAAACGACCAAAAACGCACAAGTAAAAANCATCTGTGCGCAACAATGAATCGATAAACCACGCAAACGACCAAAAACGCACAAGTAAAAATAGGATATAAGATAAAATATACCAACCTGTTGAGGTTTGTGAGCTTCCAAACGTATTTTTCCAATGAAAGTCCCATGAACACTACCCAAATCGATTAGAAATGCGCGATTGAGAAGTTTGTGCCACACGAGCACCGCATGCACACGAGAACAAGATTGATGTTCAACCGGAAAGTCACAAAGCTGCCTGTTTCGTCCGAAGAAATAACAACCTTTCTCATCGATAATCAACTTCTACTGGCGTAAGGTATGTCAACAGAAAAGCTCACCTGGATAAGCTTTCCCTCTTTCATCACATCTAAATGCAAACCCGGAGGTGGTTTTCCAGCCCTTCAAAACGTATAGATTAGACGTAGTAGACATACCATGCTGGTATCTTAAAATTGTTCACCAGTGGCTCTCCGGGTAAGACGTTGCTCATGAAACACGGAGTAATTGAAACAGATAATGAAACCAAAGGGTACAGGGTTCCAAGTAAACACTGGGTCACTAATAAAACTGAAAAGCAAAATATGAATGCGGCTCTGAAATTAGCGTAAACTGGTATTGTGGCAAAGGGCGTAGGACACAGCTGGTAAACAGAACACATATCCTACAAGTAGAACACATTAGTTCCCTGTCAAAGGGACTTAGTGGTCAACGCGTGAACTTACTGACCGGAAGGTCCGTGAAACCAACCTCTGCCCCTCGACTTCCCCTGTCTAGGCTTGGGCAACCTGGCAGTATCCCAGCCTTCATGTTTCCTTCATGTGGTATGGCAGTTAGGTGCCGAAAGGGCGCTACAGCTGAACGATTTTTTACGGTGTAGGCGCAAAACGCATGCTAAGGACTGCAATGAATAGTTTTTTAGAAGCATTAGCGTCACCTGTTCCCTTTGAAGAACGTAATAACGTCATCTGCTTGGTCCAACAGATCAACAGCTGTAAATTCCTGGTTTTTCGAAACCTGCTGGTGCTCACATCACTCCTGCAGCAGTGGCTAATTTGAGCAGAATCAGTGATTAGGAAGTCCTATCGAATGCCATTTCTAGTGAGCTTTCCATACATCTACAAGCACTCGAGATGGCGAGATGGCCCTGTGGTTATGGTGCGAATTTACTGACTGGGAGGTCCGTGGTTCGAACCAGACCTCTGCCTAGGCTTGGGCAACCTGGCAATATCCCAGCCTTAGTGCTTCCTTTGGGTGGCATGGCAGCTAGGCACCGAGTGTTACGGCTGGAAGATTATTTTTATTTATTTACTCGTAAACCTGTGGACATGACTGTGTTAGATTGACAAACTTCTGTGGCACATCGTTACGTAAGTGTCTTTGGAAAGACTAACTTGCTCACAGAAACTAACGCATCCTTGACGTCAAGGAAGAATATGACTGTGGATCTCCTAAACATACGCGGCCGCTCTAGTAATTGATAAGACAAACTTTACTCCGTCTTAGTCCCGCTTACTGTTCGCAGAACAAAGGCCCACCTGACAGTCGGGAAGGACCGATGCTTAGATTCTCGCTAACATAAGCGTTAGGGTGAACACCTGTGAATACCCCACTCATATCGAAAATCCTCGTGTAAATTTGTGTTGAATCGCCCAAGGTTGCTAGGCTAGACTCATTATCCGATATCGACACAAGGTAGGCAGACAATGGCTAAAAATTTCAGTCCCGCCCTTGAACAATGTAGAATGGAAGTCAATGAGATGAAGAGTCCAGTGGCGCTTAGGCGAAGAAAAGCACATATGCACCGCCCAAACCAAAAGAATCTCAACATTCACAGTTCAAGCCTCCACTGTAGGCTGGCGATTCGACTGAATAAGAGTGAGCGACCATTCGGATTATTACTGAGAAAAATTAGGCCCAACGGTACTCGCATTCTTGCTTGTCAAAAATGAAAACAACTGCTTTCCTTTATATTTTCATTAGTTTTCTTGAAGTGGTTGAAGCTGTGTTGCTACGGTTTTCCCGGCCTTCCAGATCTACCAGGCTTTTCGGTCAACATCATCATCTTCATTATCTTCAGCTGTAAAAAACAGAGGTTAGGGTTGCTGTAGTTTCGTTTACCGATTATCTGGAAGGTAGAATTGAACAGCTACGCATTTGATGCGATAGCTGATACAATTGGCGCTACAGCGGTGTCAACGGAATCATTGCTGAGGAGGTCAGGATAGAAAGCTATGCATTGGAGCTAACAGTTTGGATGCATTAATACCATTGAAGATTCGATTGGGCCGTGTCTGACAGTGTGTCCTGTTTCCGGGTCCCCATCCAGGGAGACGACAATGACCAGCGCACCTGGATTTTTTTGGTTATGGCTTTCGGAATTCGCTGCTAAGTCACCGTTTGAACTCCCCTGGTGTGGTTGTGCAAGAAGAGCTCTTAGAGTGGTCGGTCGACTGGATGTATCAAGCTAACGCAATCTATGCAGTGCGATCAGTTCATCTACTGTGTGCGATTTATCTCTTCCGAAAACCCTTAGATGTACCACAGCATTACTAAGCCGGTGTCCGCACCAGAGTCGGACAGTACTCCGAAGACATCAATGGCCAAACAGTGAGTCTTTTGACATCCTCACCGCGCAGCGGTCAGGGCATACTAATATGGAGCACACCGCAGCATTGTAAACTCAACCTTTCACGGATAAGCTGATATCACGTCTACGCTAAAGGTGATAAAGGTTCACGAGATCTGCTCTGTCCTTCTTAATCCGGACGGAAATATTGTCCTTCGCGAGACCACCGGGACTGATATAGCTGTCCAGGTAGAAAAGTCCATAAGGCACCTTCAACATCACAGCTACCAGACTGATCCTGTTATATATTTGCTGTTTTTCAAACGTTTCATCATTTGTTGCTAAATCACTTTCTTCCGTTTTCAGCTCTCAGTGTCAAAGTTTTGGATGAATAAAGCCTAGCTCTCGGGCCCTCAATCTTTTCCATTGTCATGTCATTCTGAGTTGCACTCCGACCCTTGTCGTACACAACAACTTATTCATCCAAAAAAGTTTTCGAACAATGGATCGATTCTTACGTCCTGTCCTGATCGATACCGACCCCAATACTCAAGACTCGGCAGATACCTGGGAGCATGGGTTTTGTACTTTCACAAACTTCCTAGAGTCTCATTCACCAGATAAACTGAAAACCTTGTTCAATTACGTCTCCCCTGGTGTTTACCGATTCATCAAAGACTGCAAAGACTATGGATCAGCCATCGAAACCTTGCGAGAAATTTACGTGCAGCCGAAAAATGAAGTTTTTGCACGGCATCTTTTGAACACTTGTAAACAGGACGGAGCTCAGAACCTTGATCAGTTTGTGCAGAAGCTTCGCAGTTTATTGCCAGACTGCCGCTTTACAGCCGTCAGTGCAGAACAGCATACCGATGAAGCGTTGCGAGATGCGTTTATTAGCGGACTTTATTCCAATACTATACGCCAGAGACTGCTGGAACATAAGTCGCTGGATTTTAAAACCGCGTACGACCATGCAAAGTCCCTCGAACTAGCGCAAAAACAGTCGTTGTCGTTTTTGCCGAACACTCAACTTCCCTGTGCCACCGTATCGAACGACCCGCCAAAGTCCCCACGTTCTCAAACGTCATCGCACGAGCAGGCGACTGCTGCCAGTGTGGGGTCTTCATGTTTCTTCTGTGGCTATGCTCGTCACCCGAGATATAAATGCCCCGCTAAAGATGCGACCTGCAAAAACTGTGGGAAGAAAGGGCATTTTCAAAAGGTATGCAGATCTACTGGTCCGCGGAACACCTCATCTGTTTCAAGTGCGCTATCTTGCGTCACTGCAGCGGCTCCTGAGTGTCTAAAAGAAGCAGTCACCGATGTGAAAGCCAATGGTGTCCCGCTTCGAGCTCTTGTTGATACTGGTAGCTCAGAAAGTTTCATTTCCGAAAAGGTAGTCCGTCGTAACAAGTGGTCTGTACTACCATCGTCATCTGAGATAACTTTGGCATCTATCCAGCACAAAAGCTTTACTCTTGGACATTGCTTTTTAACGTTGCAACACAAACAAAACAAGTATCCCTCTTTCAAGTTTTCAGTATTACGTGACCTCTGTGCAGATATTTTGCTAGGACATGACTTTCTTAAGCTTCATAAGTCCCTGGAAATCTCATTCAACGGTGACAAACCTTCTTTTTCCCTTTGTGGTCTAATTGCTGCCAAAATTGAACCTCCCACTTTGTTCGAGCATATTGACCCAAGGTGTAAGCCAATCGCCATAAAGTCCAGGCGACATTCTGCAGACGACGAGGCCTTCATTGCTTCTGAAGTAAAGCGTTTACTTGACCAACACATCATTGAACCCTCGAAGTCCCCATGGAGAGCGCAAGTGCTCGTCACGACAAATGAACGACAGAAGAAGCGAATGGTGGTTGACTATAGTCAAACTATAAACCGATTTACGCAACTAGACGCTTATCCGCTCCCCAGACTTGAAGATTTAAGTACTAAAATAGCTCAATATCGTATTTTCAGCACGCTTGATCTTGAAAGTGCGTATTATCAGATACCCATTAAAGAAAGCGACAGAATCTACACGGCTTTTGAGGCTTGCAACAACCTCTATCAGTTCCGTCGAATACCTTTCGGAGTAACGAATGGGGTAGCCTGTTTTCAAAGGGTAATGGATGACATAATACGCGCCGAACAACTTACCGGGACATATGCGTATGTGGATAATGTTACCATTTGTGGAAAGAATCAAGAAGAACATGATCGAAACCTCCAGCTTTTCCTCACCGTAGCACAAAAGTACGGCCTTCAGTTAAATCACGATAAAAGCACGATTTCCACCACTAAGCTCAGACTCCTCGGCTATGAAATTACTGAAGGTGTCATCAAACCAGACCCTGAACGCTTCAAGGTATTGCAAGAACTGCCCGTTCCGAACGACATCAAGTCTCAACAACGAGTGGTAGGATTGTTCGCGTACTATTCTCGTTGGATAAGCCGTTTCTCGGATAAGATCTACCCAATCACTCACAATACAACCTTTCCTGTCCCTGAATCTGTTATAAAAGCATTTGAAAGTTTGAAAAAGGAGTTGATGGATGCAGCCTTGGTCACTATCGACCCGAGAATACCTTTGGTGCTCGAAACTGATGCATCTGATGTCGCGATTTCTGCTACACTCAATCAAGATGGCAGACCGGTCGCATTCTTCTCACGTACACTGTCTGCCAGCGAAAAACACCATTCCGCTATTGAGAAAGAAGCTTGCGCAATTGTCGAAGCAGTGCGCAAATGGAGGCATTACCTACTCGGGACCCATTTCAAAATTATAACTGATCAGCGATCCGTTGCATTCATGTACTCAACACAACAAAAAGGGAAAATAAAAAATGACAAAATCCAACGGTGGCGGATGGAGTTGTCGCCTTTTTCTTTTGACGTTACCTACAGACCAGGCATAGAAAACAAAGCTGCTGACACGCTTTCTCGAAGTGTCTGTGCGAACACTTCAT